AAAGCCCATGGGACCTTCATTTGCTGATGGGGCACAACTCAAAATGAAGAGAAACAGCTATAAACATCCATTAATAATCGGAACATGGAATGTACAAAGTATGAATGTAGGAAAATTAGAAGTTGTCAAAATTGAAATGGAACACATAAACATCGATATCTTAGGCATTAGTGAGCTGAAATGGACTAGTATTGGCCATTTTGAATCTGACAACCACATGGTTTACTATGCCGAGAATGACAAATTGAAGAGGAATGTTGTTGTGTTCATTGTCAAAAAGAACATATCCAGATCAGTGATGAGGTACAACGCTGTCTGTGATAGGATAATATCCATGTGCCTAAAGGGAAGTCCAGTAAATACCACTGTTATTCAAATAAACACACCAATCAGTAAACCCAGTGAGGATGAAATAGAAGAATTCTACCACATTCTTCCATCTGAAATTGACCAAACATAATCAAGATGTATTGACCATTAGTGGTGATTGGAGTACAAAGGTAGGAAGCAAAGAGGAAGGATCAGTAATTGGAAAATATGGCCTTGGTGATAGAAATTATGCTGGAGATTGTGTGATAGAATTCTGCAAAATCAGTGATTTGGTCACTTCAAATACCGACTTTAGACAGTATAAGAGATGATTAGACACATGGTCCTCACCAGATGGAATACACCGAAATTAAATTGACTACATCTGTGGAAAGAGACAGTGGAAAAACTCCATATCATCAGCCAAAACAAAGTCAGGTGCAGATTGTGAAACAGACCATCATTTGCTCATATGCAAGTTCAAGCTGAAGCTGAAGAAAATGAAAACAAGTCCACGAAAGCCAAAATATGACCTTCAATATATCCCACCTGAATTTAGAGATCATCTGAAGAACAGATTTGATACATTAAACATTAAAGACCAAAGACCAGAAGAGTTATGGGATGCCATCAAGAACATCAAGAAAGCAAAAAGTCATTAAGAAGACAAGAAAGAAGGAAAAGGTTGAAATGAATTTCACAAGAGACTGAAACTTGCTCTCCATAGTGGAGATGCTAAAAAGCAAATGGAAGAAATGAGGAGGCACAAGAGCTGAACAGAAAATTTCAAAGGTCAGCTCGAGAAGACAAAGCCAAATATTACAATGATATGTGCAAAGATTTGGAGTCAGAAAACCAAAAGCGAAGAAGACGCTTAGCATTTCTCAAGCTGGGGAAACTGAACAAAAAAATTCAAGACTCAACTTTTGTTATTGAAGAATTCTCTGGGTAAATTAGTGAATGATGCAGAAAGCATGAAGAGAAGATGAAAGGAATACGCAGAGTCACTGTACCAAAAGGAAACCATTTCAAGAGATAGCATATGATCAAGAGCCAGTGATACTGAAGGAAGAAGTCCAAGTTGCATTGAAGGAATTGGCACCAGGAATTGATGGAATGAAAATTGAAATCTTTCAAGGAAGTGAGGTGGCACTGGAGGCACTCACTCGTCTCTGCCAAGAAATTTGGAAGACAACTATCTGGTCTACTGATTGGAAGAGATCCATATTTGTGCCCATATCAAAGAACGGTGACCCAACAGAATGTGGAAATCATTGGACGATATCTTTTATATCCCATGTGAGTAAAGTTTTACTAAAGGTAATACAAAATGACTACAAGTATAGATTGACAGAGACCTTCCCAAGGTTCAAGCTAGATTGAGAAGAGGATATGGAACGAGGAATATCATTGCTGATGTCCAATGGATCTTGGCAGAGAACACCAGAAAGATGTTTACCTGTGGTTTATTGACTATGCAAAGGCTTTTTAATTTTGTTTTAATGTTTTATTGTGAATTATGTGATAGTTTACATGGGATACCATTAGCTTTACATTCATCCTATCGTATATCGTTTCATTGCCATGGTTACAGTTCCCTCCATGCATCATCAAACAACCAAAGGGCATACCCTGCAAGCTTGCCCCCTGGTTGTCATCAGCACACAGCCCCTCT